GTGCTGGGAAAACAGCAGAACCGAAGCAGGTAGGTGAAATAGAGCAAATCAGTGGATGGTGATCAAAGTCTTACGCTTGGGAAAAAGAAGCAGGACCAGGGGAGCTCAACTTCAAAGAAGACGGAGAAAACTTACTGGACTACCACTGAAAAAAATAATTAAAATTTTCCAAGCAATGAAGCCAAATGTGACCTGCTTTTTATTACCATCCCTTTCTGGAAAGATGGCTCAGGTTGGTTAAGAGCACTAACTGCTCTTCCAGAGGACCCGAGTTCTATTTCCAGAACCCCTTTTTCGAGACACGGTTTCTCTGTGTAGCCTTGGCCGTCCTGAAACTCACTCTATAGACCAGGCTGGCCTCGAACTCAGAGATCTGCCTGCTCCGGCCTAGAGTCCCCAGTTTTAAAACTGTCTCACTGCAACCATGGTGGCTCACACCTTTAATCATTGCACTCGGGAGGCAGAGGCAGGCCGATCCCTGTGAGTTCGAGGCCAGCCTGGTCTACAGAGCAAGTTCCAGGATAGGCTCCAAAGCTACACAGAGAAACCCTGTCTCGAAAATAAACAAAAAACTGTCTGACTGCTTCCTAGCTATGCTTTCTCTGAGCTTTCAATTTCCGGGGATTTGAGGAAGATCGACTGTAAAAATACTCATTTAGATTGAAGCGTTGGCTTGGCAGTTAAGGGCATCTATTGCTCTAGCCGAGGACCCAGGTTTGATCCCCAATATCCACATGGTGGCTCAAAGCCATCTATGGCTAATAAAGTCCCATGTGATCTGACAACCTTTTTTTTTTTTTTTTTTTTTTTTTTTTTTTTTGGTTTTTCGAGACAGGCTTTCTCTCTGTAGCTTTTGGAGCCTATCCTGGAACTCACTCTGTAGACCAGGCTGGCCTCAGACTCAGAGAGATCCGCCTGGCTCTGCCTCCCGAGTGCTGGGATTAAAGGCGTGCGCCACCACCACCCAGCTCTGACAACCTTTTCTGACCAGGCACACACATGGTATGCTTACATACATGAAAGCAAAACACTCGCACATAATAATATGTATAATATTAATAATATCAAAAAATAAATTTAAAAATTGTTTTTAAAGCTCATACAGTGTCTGGTGCAATGTCTGCACACTTAGGCCGCTATCACTGGAAGCTACTCCCTAGGAAGAAGCTGACAGCAGTCCCTCGCCCACTAACAGTCAGGTGTTTGACCTCTCAGTGACACAGTGGATTGCCTTTTAACTTGAGCTCCTGAGAATGAGGGAGGAGTACCCAAACTTGGAGTTATACTGCTGTCAAAGAAATACAGAAAAGCTACCGTACCTCGGACAGTTTGCAAGACCCAATTCCAATGTGATGTCACGTTAAGGTAGTGATTTCCACTGTCACCTTCAGATAACTTGGGTCTTTACTAGTTCCTTTATAACCTAGACATTCCCTCAACCTCCTCTATTCTTCCCCAATACTAAAGTTTCAGAATGTAATGCCTGGTTTACATAGGAAGTTACAACCTGAAACTGCCTCAAAAAGCCAAAATAAGGGACTGGAGAGATGGCTCAGCCGTTAAGGGCACTGGCTGCCCTTCCAAACAACCTAGGTTCAATTCCCAGCACCCACATGGCAGCTCACAACTGTTTGTAACTCCACTCGAAGGGGATCCAAAGCCCTCTTCTGTCCTCTGGGCACTAGGTATACATGTACACAGACATGCATGCAGACAAAACACCTATATACATAAATAAATATTAAAGCCAGTCTAGGGTACATGAGATTTTGTCCATATATATATATGGACAAATATATATGTGTGTGTGTGTATATATATATATATACTGGGACTACAATTACCTTGTCCATCTGGCTACCAGGTGGCAGTACACACTATCTATCCTTGGCAAGTGAGAAGGAAAGAATGATTCATTAGTTCTGTCAATGTTTTGCCTCCCTGTAGTAAACAAAGAGTTTACGGCTAAGAATAGAAAAGGCTAAAGTCCCAGGCCTGGAGAATGTGTTGTCCTTTGAACCTCTTTATTAATCTAAAGCTATTAGAGCAACAGGTTTGGGAACAAGGAGGAAGCCAGGGAGGAACTAATGGCCAAGGCAGAAGAACAGGTTTAGCGGGTAGGTTCTGAGTAATGCTTACTGAGAAGGAGTTATTACTCACTAATGGGATGGCTGTCTTTGCATAGGCAGGATAGCTTCTCTCAGCGTAGTTTATTAGCACAGGATATTCTAAGTCTAACTCAAAGAGTGCCCTGCTAGAAAGCTAAGACAGGAACAGCCTTTGTATGGTGTAACACTCTAGCATGACTTGAGGGTGTGGGAAGAAAACACACACACACACACACACACACACACACACACACACATGCACGCACCTAAAATGCACAAGCGTTCTGTTGCCCTGGGGTAAATTGTCTTGGCTCTTGAATGGAAAAACAAACAAACAGGAAACCACTAGTTATTACGCACCTAGTTGGTGTCAGAGTTAGATAAGGAGTTTTCATTGTTGTCTGATGGGATTGGGTTCAAGTTATTTTACTAATCATGAAACTGAGCCCCAAAGAGGTGACATAATCTTGTTACTGCCAAGTTAGTAAGTGGTAGAGTCAGTGCTTGAGCGCAGACAGCCCAAGTCCAGTGCTAACCTCTCTGTGGAACACACAGCCCGTGTATGAGAACCTTTGACATCTCAGCCGAGTGGAGCCTCAACGCCTTTGATGCGATTGGAGAGCCTTATTTTTTCAGATAGGTCCTTCAAAGCACCAAGGTGTAGCCTCCGACAGACTGAGTTCCACAAGTAAGAGATGATGCCTAAAATGCCTCTGAATGATGTTCATGACTGGGAAGTTCCTGAGGCAGGAGGACCAGAAGTTCAAATAACATGTGTAGAAAGTGAAAACTGATTCCCACACATGGTCTTCTGACCTCCACAGGAACATCTTGGCACTCGTGTGCATACTAACATACAGAATTAAATTAAATTAAAATGTTTAAATATATCAGGGAGCATGCATTTGATCCCAGCACTTGGGCGGCAGAGGCAGGTGGATCCCTGAGTTCAAGGCCAGCCTGGTCTACAAAGTGAGTTCCAATACAGCCAGGACTATTACACAGAGAAACCCTGTATTAAAAAAAAAAAAAAGTTTAATTATCAGGTATAGTGGTACATACCCATAATCCCAACACTCAGGAGGAAAGAGGCAGGAACATTAGCGTAGTTCAATGACAGCCTGGACTACATAGCAAGATTCTGACTAAAATGGGGGGAGGGGTTCAACATTTTTGCTCATGGGCCTGAAAGATGACTCAGTGGGTAAAGGCATTTGTACCAAAATCCTGATGCTCTGAGTTTGACCCCTGGACTAACATGGTACAAGGGGAGAACTGTGGACCACAGGTCATCCTTTGATCTTCACACACACACATACACACAAACTCTTTTTTATCTTAACAGGCTGGAGAGATGGCTCAGTGGTTAAAGAGCACTGGCTGCTCTTGCAAAGGACCCGATTCGGTTCCCAGAACCCACATCAGTGGCCCACACTGTAACTCAATTCCAGGGCATCTAACGTCCTTTGCTGGCTCCATGAACACCTACATGAATGAGCTCACATACATACACTTGGATACACATAAAATAAAAATTAAAGTATATCTGTAAAAAGTAAGATTTTTAATTGGGGGGTGGAGCAAACGGACTTCTGTCTGTCCACAGGAGTGAACGCTGCTACAACCACTTTGGAAAAGGTTGGGCAGTTCTGCGAGCAGTGAACACAGCTATCCAAGGCCAAAGTATTCCACTCTCAAGCCACCCGAAAGAAATGAATCGGAGTCTACGTGAAGTCTTGCCTGAGAACATTCAAAGAAACTTTCTCATAACACCAAACTAAAAACTACAACTTCTATCCCTGTGGGAGGACAAACCAAAATCCCACAACAGAACTCTACGCAACAGCAACTGCACTGCCAGGAAAAAATGAATTTGGTTTGTTTGCTTGCTTTGTGGTCTTTTGACAGGGTTTCTCTGTTTATGATATTTTGTTTGTGTTCTAACAAATAAACCGGCCTGGAGATCAAAAGGCAGAGCTAGCCACTAGTTAACCATAGAGGCCAGGCAGTGGTGGATCACACTTTTAATCCCAGCACTTGGGAGAAGGAAGCAGGAAGATCACCCTGCGCTACACCAATCTAAAAGAGAAATGGAGCAGGGTTGTGGTTGGTGCACACCTTTAATCCCAGCACTAGGAGGTGAAGACAGGAATATAAAGCAGGTAGAGACGGGAGTTCCCGCCCATTTGGTCTGAGGTTCCATAGAGGTAAGAAGTTTCTGGTGGCTGCTGCTCTGCTTCTCTAATATTTCAGCTTTCGCCCTTGATATCTTGATAGGTTTTTACTGTTAAGACTAATTAGAATCACGCTTCATTTTCTGTGTAGCCCTGGCAGTCCTGGAACTCGCTCCATAGACCAGGGGGGCTCTGAACTCAAGAGATCTGTCTGTCTCTGCCTCCCAAGTGCTGGGATTAAAGGCAATCACAAATTCACCCAGTTTGGAGCACAGATCTTAAGTACATAGTTTGGCACTGTGATCCTTTGTTTTGTTTTTATGGGGTTTTGTTTTAGACAGCTCCCAGTGTAGCCCTAACTTGGCTTGGAAAACTATGTAGACTGGGCTGACCTTGAACTCACAGAAAACCTCCTGAGCTGCCTCCCAAGTGCTAGGATTAAAAATGTGCACCACCGCCACCACCCAGTGATGAATTTGTTTTTGAGACAGTGTTTCATGTAGCCCAGGCTGGCCTCAGGCTTCCTAGGTAGTCCAAGATGGCCCTGGACTCTTGATCTCTTGCCTCCATCTCCCAAATGCTGGGATTACACAGGTGTAGCCCATCTTGCACAGCTCTCATGAATGAACTTCTGTAAACAAACTAGATGAAAGAATCCAGGCATAAGAGCGTACAAAGCATTCTTCCCAGTATGTGAAGATCTTAAGCAAACACAATGGTAATTACCTGGCAGGGAAGATACCAGGATCACAACGGAACGTTCCCACAGCAAGGCGTAATGACTGCTTTCTAGCCATGCTGGTCCCTGTGATTTCCTGGAATATGGGAAACTCATCTGCATATTTTGTGATAATTGACAGTGACAGCTGTTCTCTCCCAAGGAAAAAAAGAGTAAAATAACGCCCGGTGGTGGTGGTGGTGGTGGTGGCGCACACCTTTAATACCAGCACCCGGGAGACAGAGGCAGGCGGATCTCTGTGAGTTCAAGGCCAGCCTGGTCTACAAAGTGAGTTCCAGGACAGCTAGGGATACACAGTGAAATCCTGTCTAAAAAAAAAAAAACGAAAACCAACACACACACACTGCCCCCAAAAAAAAAAAAAAAAATGATTCCAGGTCTAAGGTTCAATCCCCCGTAATACACATGCAAAAAGTATTTCTGCCAGCACAGTGCTAACTGTACTCCCACTAACGGGGAGGCTGAGGCAAGAGAATCAGGAGTTCAAAGTCATCCTTAGCTATATATGTCAGGCCATCCTGAGCTACATGAAACTCTGCTTCAAAAAATAAATAAATAAGCTGGGCATGGTGACACGAACCTTTAATTCTAGCACTTGGAAGGCAGAGACAGGCAGATCTCTTTGAGTTTGAGGCTAGCCTGGTCTACAGAGTGAGTTACAGGACAGCTAGGGCTCTTACACAGATAAACTCTGTCTCAAAAACCAATAGATAGATAGATAGATAGATAGATAGATAGATAGATAGATAGATAGATAGATAGATAGATAGGCAGACAAAAGAAAAATTAATTTGTGATGGACTAAAATGGAAAATGTGCACACAAGAAGCCAATTGGAAATAACCTGTAAGAACATTGCTGAGGAAATGGCAATTCGAACTTGTTCTAAATTTTGGCAGACTAGTGGGCTACATGAAAGGAAGCAGGGCCAAAATTCATTACTCAAACAAACGAACAAACAAAAAAGTGGTGTGTGTGTGGGGTGTGTGTGTGTGTGTGTGTGTGTGTGTGTGTCTGTGTCTGTGTGTGTGTATATGTGTGTGTGTATGTGTGTGTCTGTGTGTGTGAGTGTGTGTGTGTCTGTGTGTGTGAGTGTGTGTGTAAGTGTGTGTGTGTGTGTGTGTGTGTGTGTTTACAATGTACTAGAATGACTTACAGGCTGTGTTCCAACTACCCCAACAGTGGCTCCCTATAAACAGAAGGTCCAAAAATCCAGTAGTTGTTCAGTCCATGAGGCTGGAGTCTCAGGCAGTCTTCAGTGTGCACTGGAATCTTGAAGAAGTAGGCTCTAGTGCCAGTGAAGGAATGGACTTGCCAGTGAGGACAAGAGCGAGCAGGCAGGGATTGAGGCTTCCTTCTTCCATGTCCTTTAAATAGGCTCCCAGCAGAAGGCAAGGGTCTTCCCACCTCAAAAGATGTGGATTAAAGGTGGATCTTCCTACTCTTGAACACATTGGCACAGGAGACCACTTCCTAAATATAACACCAACAGCACAGACCCTGAGCACAACAATTAATAAATGGGACCTCTTGAAACTGAGAAGCTTTTGCAGGGCAAAAGACATGGTCAATAAGACAAAAAGACAGCCTACAGAATGGGAAAAGATCTTCACCAACCCTACATCTGACAAAGGACTGATTTTCAAAGTATATAAAGAACTCAAGAAACTAGACTCAAAATACTGAACAATCCAATTAAAAAATGGGCTACAGAGCTAAACAGAGAATTCTCAAAAGAAGAATCCCAATGGCTGAAAGACATTTAAGGAAATGCTCAACATCCTTAGTCATCAGAGAAATGCAAATCAAAACGACTCTGAGATACCACCTTACACCTGTCAGAATGGCTACGATCAAAAACACCAATGACAGTCAATGTTGGAGAGGATGTGGAGCAAAGGGAACTCTCCTCCACTGTTGGTGGGAATGTAAGCTTGTACAACCACTGTGGAAATCAGTATGGTGGTTTCTCAGAAAATTGGGAATCGATCTACCTCAAGACCCAATCATACCACAAAGATACATGCTCAACTATGTTCATAGCAGCATTATTTGTAATAGCCAGAACCTGGAAACAACCTAGATGCCCGTCAACGGAAGAATGGATGAAAAAAATGTGGTGCATAGACACAATGGAGTACTACTCAGCAGAGAAAAACAATGACAGCATGAAATTTGCAAGCAAATGGATGGAACTAGAAAAAATCATCCTGAGTGAGGTAACCCAAACTCAGAAGGACAAACATGGTATGTACTCACTCATAAGTGGAAATGAGATATAAAGCAAAGGACAATCAGACTGCAACCCACAGATCCAGGGAGGTTACCTAGCAGGGAGGACCCTAAGATGATTGTGGCTTATAATAAGTTTTGGTTTTGCCCAATCTCTGGGCAAGCTTTAGTGAAACATTTCACTATTAGGATAAGAATTTGTACTGATTCAAGCTGATGAAAGTATCTGCTGGCTTTTCAGGAGGGGAGGCTAACATCTTTTTAGATTATGGATTAGCCTATAGAAAAATATCTGCTGTAAATCAGTGAAGGGGAAGATAAATAGGAATCTTACTTACACAACTTAAGCAAAACATAGCTCTCTGAACAGATGAAGATAGGTCTCTTCTGTATCCCAGAATCTAATCAATATTTAAATATATAATTCAGCTATTATTTGTCTTAAAAGGGCTTATTGGGAAATGTTATCATTTTTACTATTTTCTTTAGAGAAAATATTTTCCAGTTTCAAATAAAAATAAGTGGATCTTCCCACTTCAAATAATTTAATTAATCAAAAATCTCTCATACGTGTGCCCAGCCTTTTTTATGATGTTTTAGTTAATTCCAGATTCCAGATGTAATAAAGTTGACAAAAGAGCCATCAACCAGGTGACTCTAGGTTGTGTCAAGTTGAGAATAAAAACTAACCAGCAGAGTGTACAAGCACATAGGCCACAGCACAGTGTATGTGCAAGCACACATGTCACAAACACAGTGAGTGTGCAAGCAGCCATGTCACAAGCATTCCTGTGGCTGTCAGGACAACCTGTGGACGTCTGCTCTCTTCCCCACTGTGAGCCCCTGGGGTCGAACTCTGGTAGTCGCATTTGGAAGCAAGAGCTTTACAGACCAAGCCATCTCACTAGCTGTGTGTTGTTTTAGTTGTTGGTTGGTACTGGGTGTTTGTTTGTTTATTTGTTTTTTGAGATAAGGTTTCTCTGTGTAGCCCTGGCTGTCTTGGAACATGTTCTGTACACCAGGCTGGCCTCAAACTCAGAGATCTGCCTACCTATCTCCCAAGTGCTGGGATTAAAGGCATGCACCACCACCACCTGGCAAATAATCATTTACTTTGAATTCCCTTTTTGTTTATTTTAGTTCTAAGACATGGTCTTTCTGTGTAGCCCTGGTTTTGGTTTTTAGAGACAGGATCTTGCTATGTAGCCCAGGCTGGCCTCCTATTTCTAGGTAGGCAAACCTGTCCATGAACTTCTGATCCTCCTGCTTTGACCTCTCCAGTGCTGGCATTAGAGGTGTGCACCACCATGCCCAGCTTTGGACTACAATTTGAATATGGTTTATGTCGTCAAAACTCATACTCAGGGCCGAGGTGAGTATTTAAAGGTACTTCCCGTGTAGGTGTGGAGACCTGAGTTCAATCCTTGGAGACCACAAGGTCGTGGGAGAAAACATTCTGGATGGCTGCCTTCTGACCTCCACACACAGGGCCTGGGGAAAGGGCTTAGAGGGTGAGTACTTGCTGTGAAAGCCAGAGACTGAGTTGAGATCTCCAGCACTCATGTGGAAGCCAGGCATGGTTATGTGTGCTGTAAACCCATCATGGAGAGGTGGAGACAGGTGGATCCTGGGAAACTGCTGGCCAGCCAGCCTAGTCTAGCTTGAGGTTCAGTGGGAAACTGTGTCCCAAAAAAATGAAGCAGACAGGAACACACACATAAATACATGTAGGTAAAACACCCATACTCATAAAAAATATATTTTTTTGTGTTTTTGGGATAGGGTTTCTTTGTGTAGTCCTGGCTGTCCTGGAAATTGATTTGTAGACCAGGCTGGCCTCAAACTCACAGAGATCTGTCTGCCTCTGCCTCCTGAGTGCTGGGATTAAAGATGTGCACCACCACTATCAGTCAAAAAATAAAAATAAAAAATAAGGTGGAGAGCAGTTGAGGGAATGACCACATATCCTTCTCCGACGTCTGCATGATTACTTACTCACCAGTCAAAACAAAAACTTCATACGCAATTGTTACATTGTTGTTGTCTAAATTAGATGTCCACGTTTATTACATTTATCTGGTGTGTGTGTGCATGTGTCAAGATCAGAGGACAACTTGATGGAGTCTGCACTTCTTCCACCCTGTGGGTTCCAGAGATCCAAGAGACCAGCCAGGGAGTGCCAGCCCAGTGGCATGTACCCGCTGACCCGATGTCAGTCCTGAAGTCTCACAGTGCATTCTGCACTTCCCTGAGGTCTGCCCCACCACTGCAGAAACAGGGGCAGCCTCTGAGTAAGGAGTCCGCTGACAGCCCCGGCTGTGGTCAAGTCAAGGCGGGTGGGGTCAGAAATCCCTTCTCTGTCAGAACCAAGGCAGCCTGTGCCCATGGTCAACGTCAGACTCTGCTCAGTTGTGCTGCATTTGTTGATGGACTCTGACCTCTTGGACTCGAGATCTGATTATGCCTGTCTCAACTTCTGGTCTGGTTCCACTTCACCCTTACCCCAGTGATCTCTGTGGTCCCTTTTCTGCTGGTAGGTCCAGGAAGCCCTGCCTCAAGAGCCCTAGTCTCTCTGGAAGAGAGAGGTCCCCTTCACAGCATAATTCCCAGGGAACCCATTACCTTGTACTTCTGGGCCCCCTAGAGTGATGACTATTGGGGACATCGAAAGCCAGGGAATGGCTATGGAGTTCCACATATGCGGTGTTATTTTCATGCAAGCAATGTGCATATCTGAGTGGCCCGGCAGCAAAGGGTAGGGAGCCTGAAGCTCTCCCCCAGTGCCAGGATTTCCACATACTACAACCTGGCATGGCAATAAATATGTGGAGAAAAAAATGTTGGGAAAAAAAAAGTGCCAGGCCATGGTGACTCATACCTTTAATCCAAGCATTTGGGAGGCAGAGG